ATATATATATATATATATATATATATATATATATAGATGTATATACATTATTAGATTATTTTTGTCAATTTGTCGAATGATCGATTTAATCCAAATCTTCTAAATCGAAGCGTGCAATTAGAGTAAAATATATTTCTCGAATTGAAAATAGAATAAAATAGGAAAGGTTAGAAGAGAAAAATAGCAGAAATGAAAAATATAGACCTTTTTTCTAATTTTTTTATCCTTAATGTTGTGATGTCTAGGGGAGTGGGGAAGGGGTACTTGTAATAACCTCTTTTTAGTGATAAACCCGCCGAATTGCACAATCATTCTCGGTAACGCGGTAACGCAGTTGTGTGAGAAATCTACTATCAACAGTGTAACTCAGTGAGCATTTTACTTTCGAACGAACATGCGTGTTCATTTTTTTCCTCCACTCGGATTAATTTTTCATCGTAAACTTTACGCGATGCAAAGATAGATTTGAAATGTGTAAAACGTTTTAATGCTCCGTCATTCCACATCGTGAAAAATATTCCTAAGCGAAATTGTATTTATAAGAAACTGGGAAAGGATTGATTTCGTTTCTTGAAAAAAATTATTTCGCGTATACAACACGTTACGTTCTATGGAAAAAAATTTTCTTAAAAAGTGTACCAATGTTTTACGAGTATAGATAAATTTCCTTGCGAGACAAAGCAACGGTCTTTTTCGTCCTTCGATCGATATACATATACATATATATATAGTTACGTATGGTGTATACATGTAAGGTGGTAAGTACCTTGCACACGATGAACGAAGCTGTTGAATCGAGGCACGCGTACGCGGCAATAACAAGTGAAATTCAGTTATTTCTCAATATCATTTCCCATTACCCATTCTTCCCGAATCCTCGACACGTCAATTTCTCTTACTTTTCTCGTCTCGATATGACGAATAGGATACAATGTACGTATAATTGTATATGTGAAAAAAATAAAACAAAAAAAGCTAGAGAAAAGGTTCCTAATAATAATTCTCTCAGCGAATAGATTTGAGATCAAATTTCAGGAATGATTTGCAATAAATAAGCAAAGAAAAAAAAACTGCAATTTACTGATCGATGAAGAGAAACAACAATAACAACAACAACAACAACGATACAGTTTTGACCAATTCTTTATCCTTTCAATTTTAATCGATTTGTATTTGTTTTCTGATATAAAAAAAGAGAAAAACTAATCTTACCAATGTTTACGATACGTTTCGAGCGATCTTTTATATAATTACCGAATAATAAACCGAAAAATGTTGATATAATAAAGATGCGTCTATACATCGTGTAAAATCTTTGTTATTTCTAATTGGTCAAATGGAATACATATGTATACTATTATTATAGAATTACTCGGAAATACTCTATAGAGATACGTAATATTATGGAAATGACATCGAACGATGTGATAAAAACATAAATATTGCGCGAATCATGGAAATAGTACTATTTCGCAGTGCCGTGTTGTTGCGATCTTTGTAAAAAAACTTTTCTTACAACGTTTCATGTGTTTTTAAGTAAAGAATTATTCGCGACTGTTGAATGAATTGAAACGCGATTATGGAATTAGGTATCTTCGAAGATAAAATAAAATGCGAAAAAAAAAAAAAAAAAGCAAATTACTTTGCGAAAGATAAGCGAGTAACGCTGTAACAATGTAATAATTC